CTTCAGCGCTCATTCGTCGGCGCGGTTTTGTCACCACGGTTTAGTCAGGCACGCTTTTGTCATTCGCGCATTTGTGGTGGAACCATTTTTCTGGCCATTTTCAGGCTGTTATTGGGCTGTTTTCCAAGTCATTTTGGGCCATTTTCAAGGCCACAAATGGCTCAAAAAACCAGCCCAAAAAACTCCCCAGAAAAATGACCTAAAAGCAGCCTGAAAACAGCGTGGAAAATAGCCTGTTTTGGGGGGTGGTTTTTTGTCCATTTTCAGGTCATTTTCTGGCGCCCCGCTGACCAGTTGCCGATGATGCCCCTGCCCACAGCGAGGGTTCTGGGTGCTACCTCGGGCATGCGTACCACAGGTTCGCCATCTCTGGACTAGGATCATCCTGATGGGCTTATCTCTGCAGAACAGCTACACATTTTTAAAAGTGAAACACAAAACAAAACAAAGAACGAATTAAAAAAAATGAATAAGTCATCCTATAAGGTGTGAACGGTTAACACTGCAACCACACATCACACTAAGGCCCCGATGGGCCACGGTTTGTTGCATAAACCACTCTTAGCTATTTCAGTGCGCTAAGCCATAAACCACCATTTATAATAGCATAATGGACGGGTTCACCGTAGGGTTACAAGGAGTGGGCTGCCCAGATCCAGAGGTTTTCTGCAGCTCTTAAATTGCCCTCTGGTGGGCATCTGGGATTCTTGCAGCACAGATCAATAGGCCTAATTCACACATTATTCTAAGCCACTGCCAAACACGTTGTGGCTTAGACTGATGGGTAAACACAGCAATTGCAGCAAAGTCAATATGAATGCAATTAAATCCTGACAAGCCTCGTTTCAAATAGCTGTGAAGGTGTCAAACGGCCTTAACTCAGCAAAGGCTAGAGAAGCAGAGGTTAACTTTGCCTTCTACATGTCATTTTCAACAGCACCATGCGTTTATTTTATTTCCCAAATGTTCCCAGGTTTTCTTCCCATTCAAAAAAATAGGCACTTATTTCTCTACCTTCTTCTTAAACTATTTAATTTACTTGGCTCCCATTCTCAGAGGAGCAATTTAAAGCTAGGTCTCAGATCGCAATCTGAAATACGTTCAGAGTAATACAATACAATACAATAGCAGAGTTGGAAGGGACCTTGGAGGTCTTCTAGTCCAACCCACTGCTTAGGCAGGAAACCCTATACCATTTCGGACAGATGTTCTTAAAGACTCCCAGTGTTGGGGCTTTCACATCAAACATCAACACTAATAATCAAAGCACTAGATCAGTGGTTCTCAACCTGTGGGTCGGGACCCCTTTGGGGGTCGAACGACCCTTTCACAGGGGTCGCCTAAGACCATCAGAAAACACATATTTTCAATGGTCTTAGGAACCGAGACACCAATTTTAGGGTTGGGGGGGGTAACCCAACATGAGGAACTGTATTAAAGGGTCACGGCATTGGGAAGGGTGAGAACCACTG